CCCACCTGTACAAGGGGTTTGGGAAGTCGGTCTCCAGTGTCCCCTGAGGGACGTATGGTCGGTCGGCCTCCAAGTCCATGCCCTCCGTGCCCACCTCCTGCGGGCCACGCCACCCCTGCCGGGCTCTGCGACTCCCTGTGGGCCAGCTGTCCTGCTGGGCCACTGTTGCCCAACACAAAGCCTGACAACCAGCCCTAGCAACCAGGCAGGCGGGCAAAGCAGGAGCAGAGACTCTCAGGCTGCAGGCACAGGGCTGCCTCCCTGGGGGCGAGATTCGGGACCAGCCCTTGCAGGAGAACAACGGGGTTTGCAAAGGCCTTCTCCATGCACCCGTGGCAGAGAAAAGAGGGTTTAATCCAGTCACCCATCTCAGCGGTGGCAGCTGGGAGCAGCAGCCCCCGCCCCCGCAGAGACCCTTGCTGGCTGGCTTTCACTCAAGCAGCCCGCCCCAGGCTGGGGCGTCACACCTCACCCGGCTGGGGCAGACTCGCTCAGTCCACCCCCGTGTGTCTGGCCCGGCTGGGGCAGTGGCAGGGGGACCTGCCAGCACTGTTCTGTCCGCTGCTTTTCTCACTGCGCTCCTGCCCACGGGGCACGTCTCCAGACCGCTTAGATCCTGCAGGGCAGCTTCGTGGGGGTACCTCCCAGCCACAGTTTCACCCAAACATCAGCGTTTTCACCACAGAGACTAGATCCTGCCCCCAACAGAGAAGCCTCCAGGACAGCCGCACACTCACCAGAAACAGGGAGATTGTGCGACACGCACAGCTCGACAGCGGAGAGAAGTGAGACGCCGGGGACTCCAGCAGCAGTCGGCTCCCGTGGGTCTCTCACAAGCCCTAAGTGTGAGCCAGTTGCCACCTGGTTCCGGAAGCTGAAGCCCTTCTACAGCTGATGCTTCCCCCAGCCATTGCCTCCTGCCCCAGGGGCAGCCTAGCGCTAGCACCCTGCAGCTGGCAGCGGGGAAATGGGTTTTTCTGTGGCTCCGTCCACACACAGTGCCCTGCCCCTCCTGGGTGAAAACAATTCCTTCCTGACCCCTGTGATCTGTTTGTCCTGGAGCTGGAGGATTTGCCTGTCCCCAGTGTGGCAAACCCAGCTGCCTGGATTACTAGCGTTTAGTGAGACACGGGGGGTGAGACAACACGGGGAAGTCTCGCCATCTCCAGCCTTCTGACCACTACCACCTCGGGACCCACCTGACCTGGCTACAACTAATCAGCCTACGCTATTTAGTGTGTCAACCGCAGCTTCCCAGGCGCTGTCCCCCCATTCAGTGCCCTGGCCCCTCCTCCAGGAGCGTTGCCCACCGGGCTCCAAGCCTCCCTGATGAGTGACACTCATTTCTTTATCCTGGGTGGATGCAAAATCCTGTCAAACAATGCTTAACACCTAGGGACCCCGCACCATTGCAGACCAGTCAGGGCCTTCACGCTCCAGGACCCAATCGCAGACCCAGCCTGGCCCGTTTTGTATTGGAAGCTTGTTGCTGTTTAACAGAGTAAGATTTGGTTGAGGAGGGAGAAAAGACAAACCCTGTAAGATCCCCTGGCCTGAAGTCTCCTCCAGGGGAGTCAAACATGGGAGCCAGAGGGCGCCAGGCTGCCAGTCCACCTGAGGAAGGGGGGTTTTGCCCACAAAAGCTGAGGCTCAAATAAATCTGTTAATCTTTAAGGTGCCACCCGACTCCTCATTGTTTATGAGGTTAGTAGAAGCTGCAGGAGAAAGAGGCAATGAGGAGCAAGCCAAGAGAGAATCACAGAGCTGCAGTCAGGTCCTAGCTGCAGAACTGCGATCACTGGATGAGCTGTGGGCAGAAAGAAGCCAGCTGGATTTTCAGATCCCAGCCTGAGGAGGGTTCCTGGTGGTAGTGTGGGAGGGGGAGGGGGAAACATCACATGAGGGTTTGGAACAGAACATTTTTAAAAACGTCACGGGGCTTCATATTTCCACGATCACTGTACCTGGCCCTGCTTCTCCAATCAGAGCCTCGTCCCAGGGACATCACTACGCTTGTGTGGGCTCGTGTATTTGAGCGCAGGATCCACATAGCACATCACACACAAGCAGCGTGCCCTGTAAGCTGGGTGCTTCAGCAGCCGCCCAGGAGAGATTCAAATGCTTCCCAGCTGTGAGGAGAGCACTCACAGCCAGCAGCATGCGTTCCTACTGGTGGTGAACATCTGTAAATGCCTTGGTGCACAGAACAAATTTAGTCTGAACATGAACAGAAAAACAGGAGGGAACAGTACTCATGAGTCTCACGCGAGCCTTCAAACAAAGTGACAGGCTTAAATTCACAACGTATTTAATGCCAGTTACATTGCTTTACATGAAAAAGGTTACAATGGTCTATTTTTTTCACCATATGATGCATTAAGTAACAATGCCACAAGTTCTTAGAATTTACCTGCATAAACTCTGGGGAGACCCTTTGTTCAAACTGCTGCGAGTCAGAAACGGCACGGTTCATACACTGAACGGACGTATATGCGAGTTTCTCGTCTTCCATTTACAACACAACTGAGCACACTCCAGACAGCCCCTCGCTTCACACACGTCGCACAAGAGAGTCTAGACACAAACAGCCCCTGCGGCCCCCACCCAGAGACCCCTTTTGGGAACATTCCACAGGCCCAGCAAACCACCTCCTTTGGCAACTGCACATGAAATGGGAGAGGGGGAATGCTGGCTGCGTGTTTAGGTCTTTACCATTGCTAGCTCCCCCTCCAACCAGATAGCTGATACACTCAACCATAAACCAGCTATGGGATCGGGAATCAACTTGCCATCCCTGCTAAGGAGACCCAGCGGAACCCAGAGTAAAGCACCCTGCTCTCAAGGCAGTGTCAGTCCAGGCTGCTCCTGGGGGAGGGTTAGGAATGCGGTTGTGGGCACGGTAGAAGGAGAGCCAGGCAGACGAAAGGATCCCACTCTAGGCCAAGCTCTCCGGGGAATGCAGTTCTATGCTTGAGAGTTAGCGTGACACAGCCCCCATGTGCAACTGTAGCCCAGACTGCTCGGCGTATTTCCTCTCTCCGCTCCCCCACTAGATTTCTGGGGACTTCAAAACCAAACCTGAACCTGCCAGGCCTAATGGACGGGACTCTGCAGCCCTCCCTTTTCTAAAGCAAAGCCTCTCCCGTGAAAAAGCAAAGCTCCCCTCAGCCGAGCACCCAGTATGGGCGCTCTCAGGTGCAGTTTGCACAAGGGCCCGTTCGCTGACCATATGCCCGGTAAATAATCCGGCTTGCTCCTCTCCATCCTGTGGGAGTGGGGCAGGCAGGGGGCCTGCTGTCAGTCTAGCTGCCAGGACCCTTGCCAGCCTGGTCTGTCCCTCTCCCTCCTGTCCCCCAAGCCACCATCAGACTTCCCACCTGTCTTCTGCACCCAACACTTTCCCAGGCTCCCTTCTCACTAGCTGGACACTTACACAACTTGAGCAGGGACAAACTGACTCCCCTCTGAAGCGGTTTCCTTGGTTCCCTCCTTCTACTGATTTTAATTGAGGAAGAAAATGTTTTGAGAGTGGTTGTGACAGTGGGCCAGGGCCTGGAGAACAGAGGCAGACCAAAACTCAGGCAGCACAGGAGAAACTAAGCCCCAGAAGTGGCTCCCCCCGCATTTCCCCTCCTCCAATCACTGATCTCAACACGTGCGTTTCTCTCCTCTGGCCCCTTCTCCCCCACGATTCCCCAAGGGGCGGAACAAGTCCCCAGCCAGGCCACCTTTCACTGCAAGTGATGCTTTCAATTCCAACATGTTTGCTAACTCAGGGGCCTGACAGGTACCGGTTCCTTAGTGCTGTAGTGACGGGAGGGTGCCACAGGAGTAGCAAGCAGCAAGAGGAAGCAGGGGACCATTACCAACCACTTTTATGGTGCCTTGTAATTTTGTGGACAATCAGAGCTAAGCAGGTCTGTGCTGCAGCCATTTGGAGGAGCAGACGGGGCCAGGGGATTAATCAGTCCCATTTTTGGCTTCAAGAGCTCCAATGCCGTCAGCTGCGCCGAGGGACTGTGCTCCTGCGCCAAGAGGCACTAGCTGGAAATGGCAGGCTCGGTCAAGGCCGTAGTGACATGGAATCTCAGTTCTCTGACTGGCTACCCGCCATTCACCCTTTCTCCAGGGGATGCTGCAGAGAAGCAGATACTTCCCACACCCACCCATCCCCCCACCGCTGGCAGTCTGGTTTCCCCAAGAAGGAATCTGCCTCCACACTATGTACAACAGGACAAGGGCTATATACACACACAACAGCCAAGAGAAAAAGACACTTACATCCACATGCGCTACAAAAGGGGTAGGCAGAAGAGCCAGATGCACAGCAGGCAAGCGTTGGCACATGTACAAAGGAGACAGAAACCAGCTGCTGCAAGCAAAACAGCTTCTCTTTAAATTAAAAGCGACACACACACACGCACGCACGCACACACACACAAAGTGCTTAGCATCACACCCCACTGCATTATTCCAACAAACTGGCAGGTTCGCTCTCTTCCTGAAACTTAAAAATGGGTCTCTGGCTCTGACCTAATTGAAGTTTAAAAAGGCAACACTTCTCCCTTGCCTAAAAACCTCGCACACAGACTTACAAACACATGATGTTTCTTCCGTTCCATGTGGAAGACAGGCAACAATCTCAAAGAACCTTTGTCTTTGAAAACAGATCAACAATAGTCTTTTTTTCTAAATCCATCTCAACTGCTTTTGTCCTCATAAAGACACTCTGCAGCAATCAGTCTGCAATAATTGGCACAGCATAAAGCTCTAAATAAATACTCCTGGGTCATTTAAAAAAAAGCCATCGTTTCCCCATTAAACTAAAAGTCTGGAGACCAGCTATGAACATGTAATTGCAATAATTCGCTTAAAAAAACCCATCGTCTCTTTGGATTGTGCAGTAATCTTTCCTTCAGAAGAGGCTGTTAAAACGTTTTAAAAAAATTCTCAGTTCAATGGTTTTAGGTAGATACTAAGTGTGCTGAAAATTAAATGGTCTTCACTCAACAGGCATGTGAAGTATTAGTCTTTTTTTTTTTTTTTTAAGCTGAAGAGAAAAACTGTGGATCTGAAAAAAATAAGTTCTCCTTTTTTCTACTTGGAATGAGTCTCGAGCCAAACCAAAACTCTTCTACATTCGAGAGGCTTCTCCCCAGCTCTAGCTTTTGTCCTTCCCCACGGGACAATTTGATGAAGTCTGGCTCCCACGCCTGCGTCTGAAGAAGCCTGTCAAATCAGAGAATGACGAGCCCAGAGCAGGGTTCCAAAGCCCTCCTCACACAACCCAGGCCTCCCGACACACCCCTTATGGAATACTCAGCGCTCCCAGAGGGTACAAAGCAGCAGTTGAGATGCCCTTGGCCTTGTCTTCTTATCATGGTCCATATCACACAAGTTCTACCCAATGTACAAAATTAGATACTTTCGGTTTTCCCCTCTTGCAACTGTCCCCCTTTATGGAGAATAAATTCTGAACCCTTTGCCAGGTCCTTTGCCCGCCCAGCCCCGCCCCAAATACTGTCCAATATGGTTCACAATCACGTATTTAATAAGAATCTTGAAAGTCCGTCCTCCAAACCCACTGGCACTCTCTTCCCCTCTTCTGGTTGATAGCGAGAGGGTCCGTGCATGCCAAGTTCGTGGCTTGTGCCTGGCACATCGTACCGGGGTCTCTTGGAGCACGATTAAGTTTTACCGTATCCTGGTGAAGAGATTCAGAACAGACACAGACTCCTGCAAAGAAACAGAGAAGCGTTTTGAACCCAAGATCCTCCTCTCTAATTATTCACTGAGACACCAAGTCGAGTGCCGACAGCTCCACCACCCTACCCTGTCACTACCCCAAATACCCATTTCTGCCACGAAGCCAGGGCTCAAGCAAACCAGGGAAATGATCCAGGGCTTGTGCTACATTAGAGGGCAAAGACTCACAAGCACCCTAGGGCATGATGCTGGTAAGATAGTCACCCTCCTGTGCTCATGCCTGTGTATGGGGTGCATGGGGAGCACGCGCAGGGCGGAAGACGGTTTGGGCATGCACTACTAATGGTTTAGGCTGAAGAATGTAGAGAGCCAGCCTTAAACAGAGACCCTGGACACTCACTTCACTGCTTTTGCATTCCTCCGCTTACCTCTGTGTGTTACGATCTTACGCCCAACACTACCTCAGAACGGCTGGGGGAAATGCCAGGGGTGAAAGTGGGGATTTTTGAGGCCTCTGAGCACAGAATAAGTAAAGTGACTAGTAAAACTACAGATCCCACAGCAGGTGACTAGAACAGGACAGAATATGTACAGCCTCCCCACTGGAGGGGTCTCCTTCTCTAGGCACAGCTTGCTGCAAAAACAGCTGTGGATGTTAAGGACTAGTCCAGTTCACTAGTCAATTCCCCACTCCCCCTTGCTACCTCTTATCAGACAGAAGCAGCAAAGACGGGGGAAAAGAGAGGGTACTTCAAAGCAGCAGCCTTGCATGGAGCCCATACTTGGGGTCTGTGCAGTGCTGCTGCTTTGAAATGCCATGGCGGTGTTTCAAAGGGGCAGCACCACACCGCTGATCTTCAGCTCAGCTGTGCGGTGCTGCCCCTTTGAAATGCCGCCTTGGCGTTTCAAAGCAACGCCATAAGGAGCTGGCCCTGGGTTCTATGCAGAGCTGCCCCTTTAAGAAATCCCCGGCTCAGCTGTGCAGCACTGCCCCTCTGAAATGCCACCAAAGCGTTTCAAAGCAGCAGTACCGTGTGGAGCCCGGGGTCAGCTGGGGACTTCCCAGCTGACCTTGGGCTCCATTTCCATGGAACTTGGGATCAGCTGGGGAGTTCCCAGCTGACCCCGGGCTCTGAGTGGCATTTGAAAGCAACAGCACCGCATGGAGCCCAGGTCAGCCCCGCTGTCCCCAAGCTCCATGTGGGCGCTTCTGCCTTGAAATGCACAAGAGCTGGGGACTCTTGTACATTTCAAAGGAGGAATGTGGAAGTGCCTATTGACCAATCGATGGAAATTCCATCGACTACTCGACTAGAAAATTACTCGCTATTTAACATCCTTAGAAACAACACACACACTAGAGAGTTTACCTTTGTTGAGCGGGTTTTGCTGAAGACATTCCAGAACCTCAGTGTTTCATCTCCTGCCCCCGTGACTATGGCCTCCCCATCAGGAGACATTGCCTAAGAGAGGAGCAAGAACACAGTCTTCAAAATATATGTTGGGACAAAGTGGGGATTGTATTCACCCTGTTACAGTGCATGTGATTTCTACTGTCCTGTGGTAATCCTGTGTGTGCCTCAGTTTCCCTGGGCACTGCACCAATACCTAGATGGGGATGGGAATTTCGGGTGTGACTCTCACTGAGGGAGGCTGTTCCAGTCCCAGCATGTACACAGTAGCCCAGGCTTTATGTATCATGAGCCCGGGAGGGGGTGCAGCTAGGTGACACCTTTTGCCCAGGAAGCTAGGCAAAGGCTGGAGAGGGGACTGGCTGCAGAGACTGTAAGTGAGTCTTGCAGGCTTGAGGTGCAGAGATGGGGGGGCAAGGCCTTTGGCTCGGCGCCCTCTCCCCAAGATGGGTTGTACTGACTGCTCCTGGTTCCTGTGCTGATAAGTCAGTTCTATGCTGTGTCTCTGTGAACCAATAATCCTGTTCTACCTGCTGGCTGACAGTCCCATCCGGCTGCGGATGGGGGTGCAGGGTCCAGTAGCCCCTCACACGTGCACATTTTGCTGAATGGTAGTTTAAAATGAAGGCCTCCTCCCTCCAGAACATAAATATTCAATTGCCTTCGCTGTCTCCCTAATACACTAATAAAAGGGTTTAGTAAACCAGGGCTACTTACCTTTGTTTTCCTCCTGCTTCCTCACCACTGCCACAGGCACGATGGAGAATTTGGGGAGGTCTTAGTTAGTGGTGCTACAGAGCACACATGGACCATTTGCATTATCTTTGGAACTGCACTTCTCTGTAGAGTCAGCCGTGATCACCACCCTACACTGTTAACTAATGAACTAGCCATGGTGTCTAGAACAGTCTGAGAGGCTCAGCTGATCCCATTCCATGCTGAGGTTCCCCCAACTACCATGAGAGGGAGAACAAGCAAACAGGAGACACAGAGACCAAGGGGTGGAACTAGACTGAACAGGACTGGATGTTTTAATGCACAACCACAAAGAGAAAAACAGCAGGGGGGGGGAAGGGGAGGAGTACAAAGAAGCAGCTTTTGCCATTTATAATTTTCCCTCCAGACTCCTAAGATCAGCTTGCCGTCCCAGAGGAGGAGCTGGAGTCTGACAGCCTAAGGCAGGGCTGGGGAACCTTTTTTGAGCCGGGGCTGCTGACCCACAAAAAAGTCAATTGGAGGCCTCGCACAAGTGAGAAGCGGGGGGGCCCCCGAATGAGAAAGACACTCCCCACATTCCTGTCACACCCCAGAGCCTGAGGGACCCAGCCTAACAGATTCTGTGTGCTCCAGCCCTACAGGGAGGCAGCAGGGGGACTGGAGCACCAGTGCAGGCTCCCCAATGTTGGGGGGGGGGCCCTGAGCCTTGGGGGCCAGATCCAGACAAGCTGAGGGCCAAATCCACCCCCGATCCTGAGGTTCCCCACCTCTGGTCTAAAGCTTACCCAGAGATTAACTTGGGTGACTTTGGGGCAGAAGAATCCCTCACCCCAGTGTCAGCTTAGTGGAGTGAAGCGGAGCCTTGTTTGTTTCACTAATCAAAGCACAAAGCAGCAGACATCAGTGCTAGCCACCCTGGGCTCTGTCTCAGTGCCCAGCCCAGTCGCGGCAGAGGCAGAAGGACGGGACGCTAAGCAGAAGGTATGGGTTGCAGCTTACCAGATATAAGACTCTGTACGAATGCCCTGTTAGTTTTGCTACTTGAGTTAAGGAGGGATATTTCCAGACAAGGATCTGGTTTTGCGAGTATCCATGGGTACTCACCTGTAGGAGGAAGGCACAAGGGTTACAAGTCAGTGCTGACAGCTCCTGACACAGGAAAGTTTAGCAGTGGGACTCCAACCAGGAAGGCACTTACTAGTTCATTGGCATGTTTGGACCAAGCCAGATTGCACACTTGTGACCCGGTGTCAATGCACTGCAAAGGCTGCCCAGTCAGAGTGTTCCAGAACCGTATGCAGCGGTCAGCTGTCCCACCACCGGAGGCCAGCAGACCATGCTGGTGTGGAGACCAGGCGATAGCTTTCACAGCAGCTAGGTGCTCTGTATATTGCTGGACAGGACTCAAGCTGGAGTGATTCCACACAAGGAGCTGGTGGAGAGAAGAAACAAGGTTAATTAACACTCAGCTCCAACCTCTGCCCCTCTCCCCTCCAAACCGAGGGAACAGCACTGACGACAGCCCAGCCTGGGGAAGGCAGGTGCTGAGCAAGCTTGCCCTGCAGCACTTGGCCAATGTGCCTCCATCTTATCGGTCAGCGATTCCAGTGCTGGGGCCTCTCTCTGAGACAGGCCAGCCTGCTCAGATCAGGAGCTGTTTTGCAAGTTGGGGCTAGTGCAGAGGTGGGCAATAATTTTTTGTCAAGGGGCACTTCAAAAATGGGCGGGGCCTCAAAAGGAAGGGGCGGGGCCAGGATGCTTCAGGCTTCCCTACCCACAGACCATGATTGGTCTGGAGGTGAGGGAGCCCTTTTGCCCCCCCACTTCCCACTAAGCACCATGCCCCTGGCGGTGGGAGGAGACTTCCTGGGCTCCCCCACCCCCAGGCCAATCAGGGTCTGGGGGCAGGAAAGCATGCAAAGCCCTCCTCCTGTCCTGCCAGGAGCAAGTGGCACTTCTAAGTGCCACACACTCCTGGCCGGGGGGGCGTGGGGGGGGGGGGGAGGAGAGGAGGAGGGTCTGCATGCACTTCCCCCTGCCCCCAGGTCCTGATTGGCCTGGGGGAGGGGGAGCGTGCAAAGCCTCCTCCCGCTCTGCCAGGAGTGAGCGGCACTTCAAAGCGCCGCTTGCTCCTGGTAGGGCGGAGGAAACTTCATGTGCCTCTCCCCGCCCCCAGGCCAATTAAGGCCTAGGGCCAGGGAGCAGCAGGGCCTCTGTGGGTTGAATCAACCCACTTGGCACCTCTGGGCTAGTGTTACTTGGGCTACGTGCAGTGTAGTCTCTGGACAGGAAAGCCTTTCTGAAAATCCAGCCATGATCAAACACTTTGGAACTCTATTGTCATCCACTGGGGAACAGAGGAGAAGCTGAAAGAGTTTGCAACACGGTATATTCCATCACCCCAGCGTCTGGGGAGTTAACTGCAGGAATCTATCCCAAGGGGCTTTCAGGATTGTTTGCTCTGTTCTCTGGTACAGAGCAAACTTGTGCTGTGCATGTTAAAACAAGACAAACTTGCAGAAGGGAATTTCGGTGTAAAACTAAGTTATGTAAAATTGCCAGAACTTCTGTACCTGCTCAGTGCCTAACTTCATGTTTTGGTGGAGACAGTTTAAACCAGCGTGACTGAAATCTAACATCCTCAATGCCAAAGGTGCAGGTTAGGAGCAGCAAAGCATGGCTAAGCTGTGCTTGTAATGTTTACTTAATACAGATCCTAGAAAATGGTAGGATGGTCTAGTTCAGCCCCATTTGAGGGGAGAGAATCACCTCCTTAGTAACAAAAAGGCATCTTCAGAAAAAACAGAGGGAGGCTGTAATTAAAAGCTGACATCTCTTTGAAAGAAGGCAGCTTGTAGGATTGGGAATGCAGGTTCAGCGAGGAGGCCAAGGCCCACACCAGCAGCAATCAGTACTATACCTTGTTATCATTTCCGCCCGATGCCAGGAGTTGGTGGTCTGTGGACCACTTCAGGCCACACACCTCCTGCCTGTGGCCCTGAAGCCGTCGCTCAGACTGCAGAGGGGGGGTCCGGATGTCTCTCTGAAGGATCATTCTGTCCCGACTGCCGGAAGAAAGCTGGTCTGCGTTCCATGCCAAAGCACCTGGAATGCAGGCAAAGGAACAGAGTGAGAACTGCAAGCAGCTGTCAGTGCAGGATTCCTAGGCTTAAGTAGCAAGCCACTGCCACCAGAGGAGCACAATACAAATATCGTCTTGACCCATTGTTGCTGGAAGTTTAAAAAACTTTTTACAAACACAAACCTATTTAAGTTCATATTACACCCACTTTACAGCTGAGGAAACTGAGGCATGAGGGTGTAACAACTTGCCTGGAGTCAGTAGCAGACATCGGACCAGAATTCATAAGATGTCCCAGCTCCCAACCCCTGACCTGGTCACCAATCCACACTGCCTCCTTGAAAAAGCTATTCCCTGAAAAGCAGGATGAACTGGAAAGCTCAAGCAGCCAGCCTGGAGGGTTGAAACCAATGACATTCAACAAGGTGTATTAACAGGACACACCTAGGATGTCTCATTACACTACACCCTCCACAACTGTAGCTGGCCATGATTCATAGTATCACCACCCGAAGAGCAGGCCAGTGCAATTGAAAAGGACTTTTAAAAAAAAACAAAAGAAGCAGCCACTTCACAGAAGGCTTGGGGAAGGAGTGGGGCATGGGAGTGGGAGTGAATCTCACACGCCCTTTTGGATCATAAATTAGAAAAATACTCCAATATTCACATGGCTTTAAGGGACCCCTCTTCTACCTTAGCACATGCCATTTTCAAATGGTGAGCTTCAGCCCTCTGGCCTCCTTTTCCTTCTTACCCACTCTGGCGGTGTGTCCCTCGAGCATGGACAATTTCTTCCCTGCAGCTGCATCCCAGATCTGTACAAAGCCCTTGTGAGTGCCCACTGCTACCAAGTTCCCCTAGATACACAAAAAGAAATCTTACAATTAGGGATGTAAAATCCTGTTTAATCAGTCAACTGGTTCAACACTTAAACAGGGCGGGGCGAGGGCTATGCTAGCCACGCTGGAGCGCCCTCCCACAGCATGGTGGGCCTGCCCCCCCTGGTTAACTGTAACTGGTAAGTGACACCTGGTAAGGTGATGCTTGCTGGTTGTCCAGTTAAGCATTCACCTCCCTACTTACTATCAATAAAGACAGTACGGAGGCACATAAAGAGAGCCAAGGGCCACACAACAGTCAGTTCTGGAAAGGCAAAACGAGGGGCAGGAGCAGCATTTCTAGAAATTCCACAACTAGGACTATCAATCCTGCTCAAAGAAATGCCACCTGGCAATAGCAAGGACTTGAAATGTTTTAACCGGGGAAATCGAGCAATGGGCATTAAGTGACTTGTCCAACACCATACAGGGAGTTTTTAGTAGAGTTGGAAACAGAACCTAGGATGTTCTCTGAACACCATGGCAATGCTAAAGGAACCACAAAAACCTGTCCTGTCTGCACAAGCTACTGATTTAAACAGGATGGGAATATTTCCATGCCAAAGGAATTCAGAAGTATCATTCAGCCAGCCAGGCAATATTTCATGGCATATGAAGAGCACCAAACAGAGCACCTGGAGGTCTGGTTGCGAAGATCCTGCCTCACAAAAGGTTGTTTGGCAGATGCTTGGCTCTTTTACCCAAATCTGCCCTACGAGGCAAATCTGGCAGGATAAGAATATGGAGAGCTATTGGCGCAGAGACAACAAGCATATCAGATTATGTAGCGGGTCTCCCCATAACAAGCAGAACTACAACCTCATCCTAACAGCCCTCCTAAGGAGGTGCACTGCTGTGATGGCACCGTGCGAACCAGAGCATGGCTCACTCACATACAGGTATTCATAGTAAATTTAGAAGATGCATTTCTATATTCATGGCCCAGTCCAAGTCCGTCCATGCCATGCTGCTGCATAGGCACGGTGCTTTATTTGGGGGAGGACTCTCAAGCGCACATCTTAGGTTTTAACAAAAAGGAGAGAGAAATGGATGCTCTTTAGCCCCTCGACGGAGGTCACATGTTGCTTACTGAACTTGATCTAGGTCAGTGACGGGCTAGCGAGCAGGTCGTATGAGTGGCTACTTCCTAGCAGTGGGCCACAAGATTGTTGTAACCAAGATGGTCCCCCAGATTAGAGGAGTTTTGCTAACTAACCCTGCGTACCTAGAGTTTGTGGGACGAGCCAACTGAACTGTAGCAGCACTTTGTTTGGATGCAGGGGGAGTGTCCGGCTCTCACCATCAATGCTGTGTGCAGTCAGAACGCACCTAACTTCACATGCCCTGGCTTTGTGTGCGTGACACTTTATTAATACCGGTAGGGAAAAACCAACATGGACAGAAACCTGCAGAATCTGTCAATCCTGGGTGTGGACAACAGTAAAGAAAACGTCTCATGGGCCACATGCAGACGCCGATGGGTCGCATACGGCCCTTAGGCCGCGGGTTATCCACCACTGATCTAAGTGGTTCTCACTCCAGTGAGACACTGTGAATTCCCATCAGCTAAGGGGTGTTTCTAGTGATATACAGGGGGTTAGATGTTCTGAAACACTAAGCTCTTACAAATGCAAGTGACGCTCTGGTGCCCAGCCTCTCTGAAAACAATGGCTTAATGGCCTGCGTGGTAGTATCATACTGACCCGTTCTGACCAGCCCACCGATGTCACAGAATCGCCTTCCACAGACAGATCACACAACCGGGTCACCTTGAAAATTAGGAAGTAAGATGGAAATCAGGCATAAATAGGCATCAACTTGGTACTAGGAGATTCACTGCCTAGCAGAGTAGTAATCTGGAACGAAGAGCACTAGTACGTTGCACCGCATAGATGGTAAATTCCAGTGCACTGGAAAGAGTACTGCGGCAGACTAGGAAACACAAAGGCCAATCCAACTGACTCTCGCTACATTGTACTTTCTCCCAAAACACCAAAGAAAGAGCCACACCTTACCTGGCTAGTACAAGCACTCCAAAGGTAAACACAGGTGCCAAGGCCAACACTGAGAACATTGAGAGAAGACCAGTCCACAAGGTTCAAGTAGAAGTCATCCTGCAGCTCTGGAGCATCCAGCACTTTGAAAGGAATCTTGGAGATTTTTCTTGTTGGTTTTCGAGGTGATCTTAGCAATTTCTGACTGTTTATACAAAGAGACACGGCTTTCTTTGTAGGAGGCATTGAAGGTACCAAAACATTTAGAGAAACGCCTACTCTTTGATCACTAACTTTCTACAGAAGTGGAGAGATGGAAGAAGCTATTGCTTCAGTGCTGCAGCCCTCCTGAGGTGGCAGATAAAGCCAAGTAATGGAAACAGAATGAAAGAGGGAAGATGCCCACGGCAAAGCTGCCCTGTGACACTGAACCAGAGAGGGTAAAGCAACCAATAGGCTAAGTGACCCAAAATCAACCTTTAACAGCGTATCAGAGAAGTACTGAAAGGGTTAACAGGGCCATTTTTTTGTATAGACTATTATCAAAGTTACTTTAAGTAGATATAAGCTTTGCCTACACTACCACTTTTGTTAATCAGTAGTGTGGGGAAGAAACCCAAACCCAAAACAACCCCCTGACTGATACAAGTCTCATGGACAGCATAAGGTCAGTGGGAAATGCTCTCCTGTCAACAAAACTACTGCCACTCATTAGTGATGGCGAAAGAACTCTCTCCCACCTACACACAGGAAACCTTACAGAGGCACAGCTGTAGCAGTATAGGTCTGCTATAAAGTCTGTAGTTTAGGTATAGCCTTAAGTCTTTGAATTGTTAACCTGTATTGTCAGAGAATTAGAAGTAGATACTAAGGCTGTGTCTACATTAGTGCGATCTTGTGCAAAAGTGGCTGCTTTTGTGCCAAAACTTGCTGCCTGTCTACACTGGCGGGGAGTTCTTGCGCAAGTACACTGACTTTCTAATGTGTGAAATCAGTGCTTCTTGCGCAAGAACTGATGCTCTCGCTCAGGAATAAGCCCTCTTGCGCAACTGTTCTTGCACAAGAGGCCAGTGTAGACAGGCAACATGAATTTCTTGTGCAAGAAAGCCCTATGGTTAAAATGGCCATTAGAGCTTTCATGTGCAAAAGAGCGTCTACACTGGCATGGATGCTCTTGAGCAAAAGCACATCTCTTGCGCAAACGCACATGCCAGTGTAGACGCTCTCTTCTGGAAGAGTTTTTGCACAAGAACTCTTCCGCAAAAGAGTTCTTGATCATGCCAGTGTAGACGTAGCCTAACTATATTCGTCTGTGATTACCTATATTTGTGAAGTTTATCAAAGTGACCTAATTAGCTTGCAGGTGATAATCTTCTATTCCTGTGTTACTGTACTTCATTGATTCAGAGATCAAAAAGGAATATTAACATCTAAAGAAAACTTACGGTGTAATAATATCATTGTCTATATTTTTCTTTCTTTGAAGTTTTTAGTAGACTGTCTATGATCTGCATGAATGGTTAATTACCTTATGGTAACGAATGCGGCTAGTTACCAGTGTGTGACTAGGGAATAGAGATTTCCTTCACGACAACTTTGTATATTACCTATTCTTCATTCAGCAAATGCCTGTTGTGATGTCTGTTGCTACTGATGATGTATCTGCTAGAGAACTATAACAGAACTGTAAGGCCTGAAACTTTTTCCATCTCACATCTGCTTCAACTTTGACTGAAGTTCAAGTCACAAGACTGATGCGAGCCCTGGACTATCTGAGCGAATTTTCACAGAAAAATGTCACAGACAAAAGAGTGGCAGTAACTTTATTGGCAGAAGAAAGTCTCCCACTGACCTTGTTCTCTCCATGAAACATATCAGTCAGGGGCTTGTTTTGGGGTTTGGTTTGGACTAACCTATTGAACCAATTCTAAAAGTACTTTTACAAATCTCTGTTATGAAACTGACTTGGCCCAGGGGTCCTTGGCTGCAGCCTGTAAAGGCCTGTATTCTGGGCAGGGCCGGCGAGCCATTCCTGCGCCCCAGGCAGCAGGCACGCGACGCATGTGCGGCCCCGCCCCACGGCACGCACCTTACGAAACTCTCAGCCCCACCCCTGCCACGTTCGCAGAATGAATTTTGTTATGTAAGTCAATACGAAGGGGATGTGTCGCACATCTCCATATTGGTGCACATAAAAACAAACTGTTCTGCATATGGACATAGAAATTAGAGGCACCATTACTTCTGCTCCCTACTTCCCCTCCTGAAATCCCATCGCCATACAGCAACCAATTATGGCATTAATCAGAAAGCAGCATAAAAGCCTCTGCCCCCACTTTTCCCCACCCAGAGGTAGCCAGCATTACCTTTTGTTGCTGACAGGCGATAGAGAATATGGGGAGACCTCGTTGCCATCATCTGGACTGGAGCGTTTGGTGCTGAGGGAATACTACACAAAGAAGAAAGCATTGGATACAAAATCCCCACAAAGTACAGGCCCCGATGTGTCAGAGAGCACCTACAATGTAATGAATTGATACATTACCTAGTCAGGGGTCCCTCCAAAATCCTGCTTGGTGGTAGCCCCCATTGTATTTTACTTCCTATTTTCTTCAAGATTTAAAGGTATCTTGAAGGGAAGGGACTGATTTAAAGCTACACCGAGAAACTAATTTCTGTAGAATTTCAAAACCGCTACGTCATTTAGCTAGCACATCAAGACCACGTGTTGATTTGCTCATATCTGTTCCAAAAGACCAGACTTTCAAAAACCTTCATAACTCAGGAAAGAAGAGGAACTGCGGCTAGCTGCAGATATACAGGCCGTCAATGGACAGTTTCCACTGGAATTTGTTAATTCAACCCTCCCTAGTCATTCCATACTACTGATGACTCATTTTAAACCGTGGCTGAACTTAAAATAGCTACGACGCTCCACACCTTCTGGCATCTGTGAGGAATTCCCATTCTTCTTGAGAAACCAATGCAGACCAACACAGTGACTCCAACCTACCGTGAAGAGGCTCTTCTTCTCTGGCGTGGATGGCTGCAGTCTCCTGTCCTCTGTCTGAGGGTCCTGGACTTTCTCAATCCCTGCTCCCAGCAGTTCATTCTTTAGCAAGGCTGAGTAAGCAAGGCCATCTGTTCAAATACACAAACCAGCGAATGAGCAGAGAGCTCTCCATCAGTGGTTCTCATCCAGAGGTACACAGTGGTCTTCCAGGGGCTACATCAACTCATCTGAATGGGCTGTGAAGACCAAGTTATCATATTCCCTGTGGCCCACTAGCTAAGGCAGCAAGCAAGATGCTTGCACGGCTGTTGCCCATGCTCTATTTGACTTCAGACTCAAATCAAAAGCTAGATAGAGAAACAAACGGTACAAAACACATCTACCTTTGCCATTGTCTGAGGTAGCATCCTTTGCTTTTCTGTTTTGACTTGGTGACTTTTCATTTTCCTAGAGGGGGGAAAATATATGCTAACACACACTCCAGTCACTGCAAAGAGCTCACCAAATTCACTTTTCTTCCCCCGCATACTAGTGGGAAATGCACCACCATCTTAAACAAGCTGCAACAATGCAGTCACAATGCACTTTAGGAGATCACAATCGTGATGCTGAGGCACCAAGTACAGATGCAGCAAAAGAGATGGCAAGCGGACAGTGAAGTAGTGCAATGGGTAGGGGAAGGGGAAGGCAATACTCGGCTAGTCCTCTGAAGTAGTTTTCCTGCCAAACAAACGTCTTTAACTCTAGGAAAACTCACCCTTCCTGCTAAGAAAGGTACCTATTGGGGGAAACACTCACATTTATCCTGTGGAAGTTAATGCTCCAGTTGGCCCCAGCTCTTGAGGGAATGAAACGGTCGCCATGTTTACTGGGGGAGGACATTGGAGAGTTGGAAGGTGTCAGTGTTCGTCTCATCTCAACTACCTGAAATTTTAAAAGTCACGTATGGAGAAACACTGCAAGAAGCAGGCAGGAAAAATGTTGGCTCACAGTGAGCTCTGAAAGGCAGACCCCAAGAATCTGTTTCATTAGGGCCAAATTAAGCTGGAATGACAGAACACACGCTTTGTCACCTTACAGGCCTAGTAAGCACTCCTTACACAGGTGCAATCCCCCCTGAGGAGTGCTAACAGGAGCACTGAGGGAAGCTCTCACTCCATATGCTCCGGCTCAACAGCGGAGATCAGCTGGTCTGAAATCAGGGCAGCTGGAGGCAGGGCACTATTTGTTTCGGAGATGGTTTCATGACTGGAATCCCTTTCCCTTTTGGTCTGAAAGGCCCAGATGTTAGCAATTCAGGCACTATCACCTCACGTAAGCATAGCTGTATTGTACCTACAGGAATCTCTCGCACCCAAATGATGTTACAGTTAGAATTGCAGGCACTCAGGCCTGTCTTTTTTCCTCTCCTTCCAGAGCACGAAGCCATTGATCACTGCCCTGAGAGTCCAGCAGGAAGATCCCTGTACCTTGCTCTTCCCTAAGCCTTTGGTTGAGTGTAATACCTGCTCTAAGTACACTGAGTGGCCACTCCTGCATATGAACAGGAGCCCTGGTTTGGAGTGGGGGCGTGCACAGTGAAAACAGCAGCTTTTATTAAGATAAGGTAAGTACTGCAATGCTTCCAAGCCCTTCTGGCATCCTATGGCAGCAAAGTCAAGGCTGCCGTGTTGTGTGGGAAAATGTCACCTTCATACTATCCCCTGGTTCTCTAGCATTTGTTAGTCTTCCATAGTGCTAAAGTTCTTGTGGTGGGGATGTAAAGGGACGTTCTCTTTATATTTCTTGATTTTGTTCGCGATATCGTGTGTAACCCAGCAGTGTCCCTTCAAGGTGCATTCAAGCATCAATTGTTATTTAAATTCAGCACTGAACCTAAATTAAGCAAGTAGAATCTCTGCAGGACTATAGCTATGTGTATATCTTAAAATCTTAGCCATGAGAAAAGATACTATGGAGTTTGTAGCAGATATTCACCAGAACCAACATTCTAATCCCCTGGTGGAAGGATTATTTCAGTAAAAAGCCATTTATGTGCAACATTTCAGCTTGTTCCAAGACTTGGTAAGATACAGAGATCAGAGATCTCAGTCTTTAGAATATTTACTCACTTTTCCCAAGGCAAAGAAAGCAAGAACAGTGAAATACTAATATAAAATGGATGCCATGGATTAGACCACGTCACAGGCTTGTAACATTTTGAAGGCCTCTTCAAGTAGAGACAAAGGGTGCAATTTGGAACCTGTCACAGCATACAAGGACTGTAAAACACTGGGAACCAGCTGGAGGACAAGTCTCCCAGAACAAGTGTCGTTTAAGGAAGCTATAGGCCTCCCTGTAAAACCCACCACAAGGACACACCGGGGACTGGAACTCAGTAGTGCCAACCCCAACTGTCCAATAGTCAAGAGATTGGTTTAAAAATCTGATAAAATTAAAATGTGTGGCTCTGGGTGCATCTGAGTCACATGATCAAGCTTTCTTCTCCAGAGATGAAGGTGTGAAACATTTTTTAAAACATGAACTAAGATTCATGTAATCACTTGTCTCTAGGATCAGGGACGTAAAATAATACATCAAATCATAAAACCACAGGTTTGGGAAACCTCAGGGGGTCACCAAGTCCAACCCCTTGCCCAAAGCAGGACCAACCCCAACTCAATTATCCCAACCAGGACTTTATCAAGCCAGGAATTAAAAACCTCTAGGGATGGAGATTCCACCCCCTATCTAAGAAACCCATTCCTGTGCTTCACTATCCTCCTAGGGAAATTGTTTTTCCTAATATCCAACCTAGACCTCCCCCACCACAACTTGAGACCATTGCTCCTTGTTCTGCCATCTGTCACTACTGAGAACAGCCTCTCTCCAGCCTCTTTGGAACCCTCTTTCAGGTAGTTGAAGGCTGCTCTCAAATCCCCCCTCACTCTTCTCTTCCTTAGACTAAGCAAACCCAAATCCCTCAGCCTTTCCTTGTAGGTCACATGCTCCAGCCCCCTCACCATTTTTGTTGCCTTCCACTGGATTCTCTCCAATGTGTCCACATCCTTTCTGTATCAGGGAGCCCAGAACTGGATGAAATACTCCAGATGTGGCCTCACCAGTGTCGAATACATGGGAACAATCACTTCCCTAGATCTGCTGGCAATGCAAGTCACAAGTCTCATAATAAAACTGCAAGAATTGGCAATATTGGGCCACATAGCATAGCACAATGGTGATTCAGGGTGGCGTCAGCCTACAGTGCCCCTTGGGTCCAGCTGCTGAGCCCAACTCACAGCTGTCATTTCAGGCCCCAAACTTGGGACACACAAAAGCGGACCTTTGACTCCCTTCCACTGGAATGCGACGCTTGTACCATGCCTCTCCCAAAGGATTTCCAAAGAATTTACATGGCTTTTAAAGGGAAACCATGGCTCACCAATTAGAATTGTTTGAGTGGGTCAAACAAACATGTGGACAAATGTGATCCAGTAGATATAGTGGACCTGGAGTTTCAGAAAGCCTTTGACAAGGTTCCTCACTAGCGGCTCTTAAGCAAAGCAAGCAGTCTTGGGATAAGAGGGAAGTTCCTCTCATGGTTCTGTAAGATTAAAATATAGGAAACAGAAGACAGGAAAAAACAGTCACTTTTCATAGTGGACAGAGATAAAGAGGGGTCTCCCAAGGAGCCGTACAGAGATCAGTACTGTTCAACATACTCATAAATGATCTAGATTCTAGACAAAGGATAAATCAGGGAGGTGGCAAAGTTCGCAGATGATACAAAATTACTCAAGAAAATTAAGTCTAAAGCAGACTGTGAAGAATTACAAAAGGGATCTCACTGGGTGGCAGGGCAAGAAAATGGCAGAAGGAATTCAATGTTAATAAATGAGAAGTGAAAATATAATTCCAACTATATTACAGAATGCTGGGGTCTAAGTTAGCCATTACCATTCAGGAAAGATCCTACAGTAATCATTGATAGCTCTCTGAAAACATGTGTTCAGTTTGTAGCGGCACTCAAGAAAGCAAACAGAACGTTAGGAACCAATAGGAAAGGGACTGATAATATAGTGCCACTACATAAATCCATGGTATTCCCACACCTGAAATACTGAGTGTAGTTCTGGTTGGCCTACCTCAAAGATATAGAAGAACTGGAATCCATACAGAAAAGATCAATCAACGTGATTAAGGCTATGATGCAGCTTCCATACGAGGAAAGATTAAAAAGACTGGGTCTGTTCAGCTTAGAAAAGAGATGAGTAAGGAAAATAGGATAGAGGTCTATAGAATTATGAACGGGATGGGAAAAGTGAACAAGACAGTGTAATTTACCCCTTGACATAACTCAAGTCACCTGACAAAAAATGATCTTAAAACAGGTTAAAAAAAATGCGCTTCACACAACACACAGTTAACCTGTGGAACTCATTGCCAGCAGATGTTGTAAAGCCCAAAACCATAACTGGGTTCAAAAAAGAATTAGATGAGTTGGTGGAAGAATTCCATCAATGGCTATTAGCCAAGATGATCAGAGATGCAACTCCACATGCTATATGGCCTTAAGGTTCAGACTGCCAGATCTGATGACTTGATGACTGGGAATAGATCACTTGATAATGGTCCAGTTTGGATTATTCCCTCTGAAGCATCTGGCCTTAGCCAGCATCAGGAGAAAGGATACTGGGCTAGAGAGACTACTGGCCTGACCAAGTATGTCCATTATGATGTTCCTGGGATGTAATACACCACTGAAATGCTGGATGGTCTATGTGCCAAGTCCATCTATTGTTTACCCCCAGCATTCAGAAGATTTGCTAGCTTAAAAAGACCTGTGTGCTATTAAGTAGCTCACATAGGAAGCTAAAGGATAATAAAGATCCTTACAGCTCACAGAATAAAGTCCGTTCTTTACCGGGGCCTGACAGTTTCCTGGGAGGATCATTAAGTAAATGTACAGACTTACACTAGGCATCGTGTTTTCATTCTGGATGTTGATCTGGCGTAGGAGACGTCTCTCATAATCCTGGTCCATGGTGGATAGGGGTGGCTGGGGAGTCTAACAGTACCAGAACTTTCTATTCATGAAGTCTAGCCCGTAATCAGTCTGCTGCAACAAAACAGGAAGAAAGTCAACAAATGGTGCATACTAACCTGCTGCCACCACATTTCATCTCTAGCCCATCACCCGCATGAGACATAAATTAATTAAACCACACAACCATTATGAGAAGTACACAAATGTCATCCCGCTTCTACATAATCTGTGAAGGGAAGCACAGAGAGGCTGAGCGAGTGGCTGGATCACAAACAGAAACTAGAAGTCCAACTCTTAATCTTGAGCTATAAACACAAGTCCATTTTGCCTCTGTCACACACACATTATTCAGACTTTCAAATGGTAAAGCCTAGCACAAAATCAGTGCACTAGCGGGTTAGGAATATTACACCACACTATGACCCTCAAATCTATTTAAAATCTATAATTCTGGGTGGATGATGGGTCCTAGTCTCCACTTACAACTGGTATATGCTTAAAAATTAGATCGATCTAGTCACGTTGCTCAGTGCTATTAAAAATCTCACACCCTGCTTGGATAACCAGTATAGACCAGCTAGGTCAAAGGAATACTGTTGATCTAGCTACCTCAACCTTTTTGGCCCATGGACCACCTGGCTCAATGTAAACCTTTCCACAGACCACCAGTTGTTAATGGAAACTCACCATTAATTACATAATTACAACCGAGCCATTTTGCTAGCGCTGCAGCTAAGGAGAATGGTTTAATTTAAATTATTAAACAGCTCGATTTCACTTTCTCATGTTAGTTTATCAAACTTCATTTTAAATTAAGTATTAATTTATGCCCAACACAAAAGGTTTCAATGCTTTCTTGATTTATGGCAGGGGTGGGGAAACTTTTTTTGGGTCAAGGGTCACTGACCCACAGAAAACTCAGTTGGAGACCACAAGTGAGAAGCAAAAAAACCTGCTCCCAAAACCCCGGAACCTCACTGATGTGGACCCCAACTGAGATACCTCACTTCTCTGGCGCTGGAGCCCCATGGGATGAGGGGAAGGGACAGCAAGGACTGAGGTTCAGGGCTTCCCATAGGTCAGATTTACTTTTCTGGTAGATTTTATGGGGTGGAGACAAAAATGAGGGGTTCAAGTGTGTGGGACAGGGCTGCTAGTGGGATAAGGATGGGAGAGGGAGGTGGAAGGTAGAAGGGGGAAAGTTTGGGAGATCTGGGTGAGAGGAGGGTGCAGAAGGCAGCTGGGGGGATGGAGCAGGACCAAGGGAGAGTGAAGTGTGTGGTACGGATGGATGGAACTCTCTGGTCTGGCACCCTTTGGACCTGAATGGTCCCAGATAAAGGATTTTTCTGGACCATGGAAGGTCATTTCAGGTCCCCTGCTGCAGCCCCTGCCACTGGGCTTTCTGGCTCCCCACTCCCTTGCGCCCAAGCTAAACAATGTGCCTGACTCCTGGCGCACCCGTCCCCCACAGCCTAGCTGAGGCATGCGCCGGTTCCCGGATGGATGTAATAGTATAGTTGATTAACCAATAAGCAAAAGCTTACAGGTTAATGCTATAGACTACATGCATTTCCCTCTCCGCCTCTCCCTGCCAGTACATTTTTTAGCAGGCTGGCCAGGAGCCTGGCTCAGTCCTGGCTTGCAACAGGTCCAGAATCTACCCCTGCTGCGGCTCTGCATTTAAAGTCCATTAAGAGCCAGGGGGGCAGACAGCCCAGCTCAATTCTGGCTTGTGCCAGGTCTGGGAGCTCAGACCCCCAACCCCCAGACAGGGACTGCTGCCTCTCTCTCAGAAGCAGCAGCACAGGGTGACAGGAAGCTGGTCTGCGAGGGGGGCTGGTTTTTAAACTGGCTCCCCTCACAGACCAGCTCCCACCTGGCACCCCACACTGCTGCCTCTGCAACCGTGGCTGCTGGCCCTGCCCACGGGGACTATAGAAAAGTCGACTAACTGATAAAATTTCATGAGGTTACTCGACTATTCAATTAACCAATATTTAACATCCCTAGTTCCCTGACACCCCTTACCCCCCGCAGCCCAGCTGAGGGACACACTGGTTCCCTGTCCTCCTCCCCCCATATAGCCCAGCTGAGGCTTCTAGCTGCATTCAGAGCCTCAAGGCTTCCCGGGACACTTCACTGCTGCACAGGGACATCAGGACAGGAGATCAAAAATTGGGACTGTGCTGGAAAATCCAGGACGGATGGGCAGTGTAGCTATAGTAGCCATGCCCAGACTATCTTTCAGTCATAAGAATAAGGATGATGTGATTTCAGAACAGATATTCATTCACATTTTGTTGGTACAATTTTAATAAAATGTGTCTCACAAAATTAAACATATTGAGGTACCTTATATTGCAAAATAGCATTATCTTTGAAGTTATATTCTGTTTTATAGCTTCACAGCTACTTACAGAATTTATATCATTAGATGACAAGATCACACTTTATCACGTGTTTAAACAGAACTTCTTTGCTTTCAGACATGAGAAAGGACAGCTAAAGACTTCATCTGAAACACTTCTCTCCTATACTGCATAGTCATGCCAATGACTGGGAAATGTGCATGACAGCGGCTGGCTTAGTAGAAATGGATTTTACAGCTGTGGAGGGGCAACAGGTAGCATATATATTCCAATTTTATTGCCAGCCCACAGACTACATCAACAGGAAGGGATATTTCTTGATAGTGCTGCAGGCACTTGTGGATCACCATGGGCATTGCACAGACATCTACATGGGGTAGCCTGGAATATGTATGTTAAGGACTAGTCAACTATCCGATAAGCAAATGCTTATCCAATAGTCAGTTGACTCCCTTGCTGCCTCTGTTATACAGAGGCAGCAAAGGGGGGCGAAGAGGGAGTACTTCAAAGGGGCAGCGCTGCACAGCTGAGCCGGGGACCAGCGGTGTGGCGCTACCCCTCTGAAATGCCAAGGCAATGTTCAAAGGGGCAATGCTGCCTGGGGCTCTGGGGCTCCCCAGCTGATCCCGGGCTCCGCAAGGCATTTCCGCGAAACTAAGGATCAGCTGGAGAGTCCCCAGATGATCCTGGGTTCTGCTGAAATGCCGCATGGAGCCTGGGAGCAGCTGGGGAGTCCCCCGCTGACCCAGGGCTCCGCGTGACATTTCAAAGCGGCAGGGCAGCATGGAGCCCGGGGTCAGCAGGGGACTCTGAGTCCCCCACTGATCCCAGGCTCCACGAGGACACTTCCGCTATGAAATGCGCAACAGTCCCTGCTGGGGATTCTTGTACATTTCAAAGCTGGCCCACAGGCAGCCCGGAGTCTGCAGGACTTCCTGCTGGCCCCCAGCTGCACGCGGAGTTCCACATTCCTCCTCTGAAACGTACAAGAGCCCCAGCGGGAGCTCTTGTACATTTCAAAGAGGAAAGCAGAAGTTCCTATCGACTAGACGATGGAAATTCCATCAACTATTCGACTAATAAATTAACCGCTAGTTAACATCCTTAGCCTGGAAAGATGCATGACACACTCATTTTCAGGAACACTGGTTAGTACAGAAATCTGCAAGCAGAGAGACTTTCTTTCCAGGCCACACACTTACAGTGGGAGGGATGTGAAAATACTCATTGTGATCCTCAGAGATTCAGCTTACTCCTTGCAGCCCTGGCTTATGGAACCATACATGGGCACTGGGCAACAGTAAAAAGCATTTAACAGAGTGAACAGGTGCTGCATGGTGGTCGAATGCACCTTTGGGAGAGTGAAGGCAAGATGAAAGTGTCTGTATGGCAGGCTAGACTTGAGGACAATATTCCCATGGTTATCAGAGCTTGCTGCACTTTGAGTAATTTGTGTGAAAGGAGGAACTGTTTGCTCAGTGACGGAGCACTAAGGCACAGTGCTTGGCTGAAGAGTTTGAGCAGCCAGACATTAAAGCTGGTAGAGGAGCCCAAAGGGTTGCTGTTAATTTCAGAGAGGCTTTGATGATGCATTTTAATAAACCTCAGTTTCTTAAAGCACCTCCCCCCAACACAACATCTTGCTTTCAAAGCCTGCACCTGGGATCACAGTGATTGATCTGTGAGATTACTGAGCAGTAAATAAAAGAGTTGAACCATTATAACAGTGTGCCTTTATTCATCAGGAAAACAGTGCACTGAAAAGCAATAAAGTACCCCCAGGGCTGGTAAGGGAGGTACTGGCAAAGGATTACAACTCACAAATGTGATTAGGTCCAAGCATCATAATCAAAGTTGGGAGGGGTGGAGTGCCTGGGAAAATGACAACTCCCAGAGAGGAAAAAGGAATGTGAGGACATGGGGGGCGGAGTTTGCTGTATTCAGCATTTGTATTGATTGAAAACACTTCATGAATCAAACCTTCCCTGCTTTTCCTAAGGTAATTGCCTTATCTGTTGCAACTTCTCCAAGGCAATGTGCAGAGGGGCTGCTAAGGTCTCTATTCAGCATAATGTACAAAAATGAGCCTGTTAGCACCGAGTCATATATTGTACCATTTCACTGACAGACTCCTTTCCCATTCACTTTCCTGTTGATCTTTGCAAGGAACACATCTCGC